ATGCACTTGGACATACGTAAATGCACACACACACAGACATATATACATAAGTTTCACCACAGATGTACGAATGTATGTGTAATATAGTACAAGTACTTGTCTACCCTGTGTATTAAATACGAAGAAGAAGAAGAAGAAGAAAAAACACAGATGGGATCCTATAGAAGAAAGAAAGAGATATATATATATATATATATATATGTATATGGAATAAAAAAAAAAAGAAGAAAAATGTTGAAGAAAGAAAGAAAGAAAGAGAGGTACCGAATCTCACCTTGCAAGGCGAACCTGTTCGTCAGTAACGAAACGAAAGATCACCGTAACACTCAGGAATGTTACGGACTGAAAATTACCTTTCTATGTACCTGTTTCCGATCTTTAAAAGATACCAAAATCTTAATCCTATAAATCCCCATTATTAACTCGATCAGATATAATCAAATGTAATCTATTTAAAATATCTTTAAAAATATTAGCAAAGCTTACGTTTTGTTTATATTTATATTAGTTTATAAAATGTTTTTAAATCATTTAAATTAATTTTATCATATTTATAATAATCTTATTTATTTAAAAATACAATATTGAATTGGCAACTAAGTCATTGCTGATTTTTCAAAGCCACCTATCGACAAAATTCGCAATCATTTACTTGCCAACCTATTATATATCTAAAAAAAACGATAAGCTTAAATTTTATTTATATTTGCATGTATTATAGTTTATATTAATTTTAAAAATTATTTTAATTAATTCTATCATATTTATAATAATCTAATTTATTTAAAAATATAATCTATATATTTAAAAAAATACTATAATCTTAAATTTTATTTATATTTGCATGCATTATAGTTTATATTAATTACAAAAATTATTTTAATTAATTCTATCATATTTATAATAATCTAATTTATTTATATTTAATATTTTTCATAAAATTATATTAAAATAAATTTAAAAAATTATATTAAACCGCATTTGTATGCACTCATTTAATTGCAAATATATAACTAAACGTTTTATAATAATTTATAACAAAAAACAGGAAATTATTTCATCAAATTCGCATAGATCAAAGTAAAAATGTGAATCCTACTGAAAAAAAATAACCAACCAACCAACGTACACTCACTAACTCGTTCCTTTTTAAAAACCTTTTATGCTTACCGATTGCAAGCAGATGCAACAACTTGCATTTCGCTAGCGCATTTAATTGAATTTTCTCCTCGAGATCATCTCGAATGTAAGCCAGACCCAAGAGTACCACGAGTTTCCATGACAGGAGACTCGTTGTTCGTGACAAAACGTATTTCCTTATCAAAGACCAAACCCCACCCTTTCCCTGCCCCCATCAACCAAGTTCTTTTCCCTTCTTCTAACCATCACCATCACGTCAACCATCGTAATAGTAGATTTGTTTTGAAAAAAAAGCTTTCGTAAAAGATCTCATTGCGATGATGACTTCGTACGAACAAGAAAACGTTTAAGAATTTTCAACGAACCGATTTTACTTTGAAATATATTTGAAAAATTGAAATCAACAGGAAAATATTAAATAGAATTATATAGGAAGAGGAAGATAATTTGATTGAGATAATTCTGATTAACGTGTAGAAAAAGAAAAAAACTTTCACGACGAATTGGATCATCAGTTTCCGTGTGAAAAGTGAAAATTGTTAGGTTATGCTGAAAACATGAGAAAGATTCAGATGATTTCTCAACTCTTCTTCTTCTTCTTCTTTTTCTTGTGGGTAATTTATTATGCTAATGAAAATATTTTACAAATCTTTACATTTATAATAATTTTTTTCTTATTTTTATAGTTTTTTTTTAACCCCCCAAAAAATTTGTAAAATAAATGTAAAAATATCGATCGAAATTTTCTTATTTTGTTCAAATCACAGATTGTTTTATTTATTTAATAATCAAAAGAAAAATGACTTGTGCGAAAAGTACAAATATTTGAAGATTTTTCTACCTGTTCTTTTTATTGTTGTTAAAGGTTCATCTCTTTTATTTTTTTTTCTTCCTTTTAACCTAAATCCTTACAATCACTTCCAATTATTAGCACGAAAGGACCCTCCAGAAGGTTTTAATGCCCCGTTTCTTAACCCCCATTTCAACCTAACAATAATAATACGATTATCTACGATCTTTTTCAAGTTTTTCCCCCATTCAAATGAAAACGTAAAGAATGCACTATAGAATGTGAGATGATGATTCTTTGATAAATATTTCTTGGCAAAATTTTAAAGTTAAATTCTTTTTTTTTTCTTCTTCTTCTAACGGTACCTTTTCTACGATATTTCTTTTTTTTTTTTTTTTTGGTCTTATAAGGATTCTACAAATATCTCATCGTCCTTGAAATCGAGACATAAAAAAAAAAAACGAAAAATCAAATGCAACGTAAAAACAAAACAACAAAAAATGACAAGACAATAATATAAATAATAATAATGAAAAAAATGTTCAAAAAAATAATGACTCCTTCTTAAAGTCTTCTCTCGTTTTCGAGCCTTCTTTTCATTCGATTATGTGAATGGAATAACTAATATAGAAAATAAAATTACCGGACGTGCACGTTCTTAACGATCACTGTATATATATGTATGTATGTGTAAGTGACTTTATAACTTTATTTTGTTTTTTATTTTTTATATTACATTACGTATATAAGTATTTGATATATTCAACGAGATAAGTGTACATATACGATCGATAGTTGCTGTAATCAACGTAGCCTAATTTATCCTGTTAGGAAAGTTAACTTACTCACTGTTTCCCGTTTCGTATGTCTAGTCATTTTACTTTCGATCCAAACATTCCTTTTTATTTCTCAAACTAATTTTTACAAGCAACATTTTTCTTCCTTCGATCTACAATAATCAAATAAATAAATAACATTCCAAAAATGAACTTTCCTAACCTTAAATTAAAACTGATAATCAAATTATATTAAATATAATATCAAAAATAAAAAAAATAAAAATGCGGACAGGTAAGAATAAAATTAATCCCAGAGAAAAAAAAAATTTATTCAGCCAATCAGATAAAGAAGAAAAAGAAAGAAACAAAATGTACAAAAAGAAGCAGAAGATGAAGTAGAAAAAGAAGAAGAAGAAGAAGAGAAAGTAGAAAATAAGAAGAAATCAGAAAGGAAAAAGAAGAAGAAAGAAAAAAAAGGGCCTGCACTGAAAAGAGTGGGAGAGCCTTGAGTAGGTTTGCCCTACTGTAACAAGCCCCTTCGGCGCCGTTCTGGGCCTTAAGTGTCTCGTAAAGGAAGGCAAAAGGGTCCGGCATACGAACGAAACGTTTGCGTGGACATACGACGTTTATATTCCCTTCAACGAAAAACAGCTAAACCTACGCCCTCGCACCACCTACACAATAACACACATTCACAAACACAGACCCATAATCCATAAACCCATAATTCTCATCCATACTTTCACCCATAAAACACCCATACCTTAACTTACACTAACGTCACACCCATACTTCACATTTGTACTTGTATTCATACGTTTATTATATGTATTTGTATTTATATTCATACAAATTTATAAATAAATAAATATATAAATATGTAATTCATATTTTAATGTACTAAATGTATTAAACGTACCATACCTAAGATTGTTAATTTTTTAGAAGAATTTTTTACAAGTTAATTTGTTGAATAATGTCCTTTTATGAGTTAGAAGTTCTTATTGCACAAATGGTATTATATTTTTTGTTATACATATTGTACATAGTAAAATATATCACTTTTTGAAAATGGGTCATTGAAAATGGGTCATTTGACCCTTTCTGATAGAAATAAATATACATAAAGCTAAGTATATATTTAATGTTAATATAAAAAAAGGAAAAATGAAACAAATATTATTTTATAAAATTAGTATAATATTAATAACAAATTAATATGTTTCTTAAATTAATTTCATAAGATAATAGTAATTTAATACTAATACTATTCAACAATCTCAATATAATATATTCATATACAATATTTTAACTAATGCAAGTACACACAGCTAAGCACAAACGGACACAGGGCAAATGCATTCAGAGCTACAGACAAATGCATATAGCCACACATATGTTCAACTGCATCCCCTATGCATCTTTTTCTTTTCCTTTTTTTCTTTCTAGTTGTCTCTAAAGGTTGGTATATTAACGTACAGGAAGGTCGTTCTCTTTCCTTTGCTTGGCTTTTGAGTTCCCGCTTGGTCAACTCCTACTCCTACTCCTACTACTACTCCTACTACTACTACTACTACTACTACTACTACTACTATTACTACTATTATTATTACTACTACTACTACTCTTACTCTTACTACTACTACTACTACTACTACTACTACAAACTTACTACAACATGTACTGCACTTATTGCACTACTACTGTACTTACTAAACTTGCTATTAAAACATTTACTGCACATATTAAACTACTATTACTACTATATTTACTACTACATTTACTAAACTTACTACACTTACACTTACATTTACTACACTTATTAGACTACTACTACTACATTTACTATTCTTACTACACTACTACTATTATTATTACTATTACTAATGTTTCTATCCCTACTACTACTACCTTTTACTACTCTTACTATTACTAATACTAATACTCCTACTCTTACTACATTACTACTACTACTACAACCTTGTTGGTGTTACTATAGAACGCAGAGCACGCTACTACTTTACTCGTTCTTGCAGATAGTTTAGTCGTGGCGCAGCGCTCGTGGCGTGCACTTCGAATGCGTTCCGCGTTCTTTCGTATTTAACATCTCTCTTTCTCTCTTTGATTATTTTATTTTTATTTAATAAAAAAAAATGTTTTAATATCTCGTGTCAAAGAAACAAAAAAGAAAATTGTTTCGACGAGTTATAATAAAAAGTTTAAAAAAAAAGAGAGAGAGATAGAGAGAGAGAGAGAGAGAAAGAGAGAGAGAGAGAAATAAAAAGAGAGAATACAATTTTTGGATAGATTTAACAAATATTCGTGAATTTTAGTGACACATATATACACATATACACATAAACATACGCAGCAACGTGATATGATTATCGTCGTCAGTGTTTGGTGTTCATATTATCTATCGATATATTTGTTTAATTAAATTCATTCTCATTGGATGGTGTAAAATATCACTCTCTCGATGATTATTTTCGATTATCTTATTTTTTAAGAGAGACAGAAGAATTTGATTAGTTTTCATTAGTTCATTTATTATTTGTTCTTACGTTTTTACAACACACACGATCAATCCAAATATTCTCTAAGTGAGTATTATTATTTTAATAAATTATTTATATAGTTTTAACTATATCATAGAATGATTGTGTTTGTTTCACACTTTTAAGATAAAACTTATCAAAATTAGATTCTTTTTTTATCTTACACTCTCTCGTTGTGAAGATAAAACAAAACCAAAAATTACTGATCAAAATTCTTTCTCAACATTTTTTCAAACATATAATTCGAGTGTATTTTCTTTTTTTTTTCGAATTAAATTACTGAAAAGAAAAGAAAAGAAATATTTAATAAAAAATATGATGTTTTCTGATTGGACATTTTGTTTTAATCGTTTTCATCCATCTCTTTTCTTTTAATTTTCTTGGCACGCATATATACATCCGGACAACGTACCGGACAACACCACACACTCTGATTTCACTTAGACTTCAAATTATATATCATACATATATATATATACAAGACACCTTTACAGTCATTCTAACAACCTCCCTCTTCCCACCCCTTTCGAACACCTTTTTCTTTTCACCAGCAATCAGGACATTCCTTTTGGTAATTACCGTATCTCCCAACAACTAACTACATTTCTTCTTCCAGTATTCTCAACTTTGAGTGTCTGTTAATGCGACTAATCGAATTCTTTGAGTAACTTAATTAACTTATAAATGTTACATTTCAAAATCATTCCTGTAGTTCGTGATTCATCATTCGTTAATTGTTCTTCGTTTATCAAAAAAATTAAATTGACATTTTAAAATAATTTATCAATGTAATTAATCAAATTGCTTGAGGTAAATTAATTATGTTTCTAAGTAAAGTTAAATTATTTTTAAACGACTTATGTTTATTCATCATTGAATCATTCTTTACTTTCTATTCATAAAAATATAAAATTAATGTCAAAAATTGACAGATTGAATTGTTTCAATTATTTAAATAAATTACAAATTATTATTAAACAATTTATCATTTGTAATTCATCTTTCATTACTGTTTGTTAATAAAAATATATTAATTAATATAAATAATCAGCAACAAACGTGACAAAATTAAATTAATCCAATTTAAACAAAATTGCATATTATTTTTAATTATTTCATTTGTCAATTGTCATTCGTAAATTAAAATCTATAAAAATAATATTATAAATGACATACTGACAATGATTCAATGTCACTTGTCATTATTCAGTTTGATAGTTCATTCCTTGATAAAAATACAAACTTGATACTGTCATTCTCTATTTCTTTCTCTAATTTCAACTTCTAACATCCTGTGACTCTTGATTGTTTCCGACATATCTGGGATAAAACGATTATTCTTAGCCAAGTCAAAAATCATAGGTCTTTACTATTAAAATTGTCTATGTTTGTATGTAATTGTGCTTTCACTATACTAACCTAAGTTTTAACAAAAACGTATGACCCAAATCAACCAACAAAACTAAACAATCGTCAACCATACTTTGCTATAACTTTTTCAATTCAATTTATTATTATTATTATTTACATTATTATTTATGTAAAATATTATTAATCATTCTTTAAAAAAAATTCCATTAAAATTAAAATGTAGAGAAATGATATCACGTTACAAAAAAAAAAAAAAAATAAAAAACAGAACAAACAAAAAGTTTTCATTTAACCTGACGATGAAAATAATTTCTAATTTCCAATTTTTTCTTCAAATAATTTAAATATTTAATTATTATTAAATGTTCCCTAATAATTTTAAATATTTAATATTAAATTTTCAATTTAATTCAAATTATCCATTTTTGAATAAAAATTGAGAATTAATGATATATACATATATATATATGTGTATATATGTATGGTGTTTTTAATTGCAGATAAAATGTTGAAACACGTGTCGGTGTCGCCATGGAGAGGGCGAGCAGACAGTGTTAGCCTTTCATCATCTGGTGGTGCTAGTAGTTGCGGAAGCGGAAGTCCAACCCCTGGTCACACACCACCACCCTCTAGAGCATCATCCTGTGCATCTTTGGCACCCTTAACAGCACTCTCAAGTTTTTCTCCAGCCGATACGGCGCCCCAACAGGTGAGAATACATTGTAAACATTTACCTTTTTTTGTATAAACAAAAATCAAACCACCATTACCCCCAAGTAACCCCCAAGTCATCTCCCAGACCCTACCCAATAGAATGTTTAAGATTCTTATACGTTGTTCAACATACGAACGCACATGTCAATCATGTCTGATTTGAACGAAAATAAAATTCAATTTTTTTTTGGAATTGTACAAGAGTGAAGTATTATTTTAAATTAAATTAACAATGAAAATGATGACGCGAGTTTAATTTACGTGACGCATATAACAAACGTTTTTAATATTTCTCGTGATACTTTTATTACCAGCTGGACCACCACCACGTGTGTCCTTGGACAACGATGATGATGATTATGATGATATTAATATGTACCGACGATTAACCTTTTTAATCCAAATTACTTTTTTCTGTGTTGTATACACACATACGTAAATGTGTCTGTATATAACGATACAACAACGATGATCTTTTATTAATGAATTTTTTTTTTTTTTATATTAATTATTTTTATTTAATTATATTTATTATTCTATCCAGTTACCAACCAACCAACCATTTTATATTTAATTTTATTATTTATTATGCTATCATCATCTTTTATCAACAATTTTTATTAATTTGATTTTGCAATCATATTTAATGAAAATTTACAATTTCTCACGATAATTTTTAAAATCCCTTTCCCTTTTCTTTTTTTTTTTTCTATTCTCTTATTCGTTGCAAGTAGAAAACGTGTGCGGTTTCGCATTCCTTTTTGCGAGTAAAGAGAGAAAGAGAGAGAGAGAGAGAAACATGAGTCTCTTGAGGGCTTTTATCCCTAACACAAGATGTTTAAGAAGGACCCCGCTGATATTTATTTTTCTTTTACATCTGCTTCTTAACATAGACATACATACACGTACATACACAAATACACATATGAATTAAACAACACTCATTCTCCCATTTCTTATATCAATGCTTACGGAAATGAGATTTTTCATGAAGTCACTTATCTAATATACTGTAAAACATGAAATATAATAAATCATTTCAATGATTTAACCAAAAAAAAAAGAAAAGAAAATATAAAAATGAAAAAAATTACAACTAAAAAAAGGGGGATATCCGTTTGACTTTTGTTTTTTAATATTTTCATTCTTTTTGTTGTTGTAATATTCGATTTAAAAACAACGTTGTAATAATCTTGTCTTAATAATTATTATAATTGTTGAATTATGATTCAACCTTCTTTACAACCACCTTTTCCTCTCCCCCTCGCTCCACCACCACCACCACCACTGCCTTCCCTTTCTCATCCTTTTTATCCTGAAATCATTATTGTGTTATTCTGCGCGAGTAACCAACCTACCAACCATTTTTTTTTCTTCTTCTTCTTCTTTCTCTCTCATCTTTTAATACTCACGCGTAAATACAAAGAATTTCAACTCTGTTCGGATGATCCGATGTTACACACTATGACCCGTTTCACACGCGACTGCACAAAGGTCGTAGAAAACGCACCGTTTCATTCCGTTATATACACTACCTAACATTTTTTATATTTTAATTTACTAATATTTTGTTCTTATCTCTTATTGTTATTGTACATGTTTATATTTTTTGTTCAATTATTTATTCAAAATTTATTGAACATTTATTCGTCAAGTTTGTCTCCGCTCCCCCCTCCCTCTACGTTTATTTTAATAAAATTCTAAACTCAATCCCCATTCCCCTTTTCTATTTTACATTTTGTACTCACATTTATTTGTATTTTTTGTTAAACATTATATTAATATTAATATTAATAAAATTAGTTTTTAAATTAATATATTATTTATATAAAGAAAATAATAATATTTTCAAAGAGTGCAAAAAACAATTGACAAAATTACTTTAAAGTTGTAGAATTTGTGATAAATTACAATTTTAAGCAACCCTTACTATCATAATATTAAATTTTATTAACAAATACATTTCTCATCATCCCAATAAATTAATTTATAATAATTATTAATAATATATAAATGTATAAAATGAATAAAAACAAATATTCTTTTGATATCATTTACCGAACCATTTTAAACGAACTTACGAATAAAATGCACGAAATCATTTTCGATCTCACACATTGGGACTGTTTAAGAAAAACATTTTAGAGGTGTAAAAAAAAGAAGAAAAAAGAAAAAAAAAGAAAAATAATATCTTTGTGTTGGTAAGTGTTAAAGGCAAGAGTTCCCTCGTTTTCAACCAAGAAGAGTTGGTCTCAAAGCTCGTAGTAAACCTTCCATCTTTTTTGCCTATCTATCTATCTATCTCTCTTTCTCTCTTTTTCTCTTTCTCTCTCTCACGAAGAATTCTCTGTGAGAACCCCGCATACCGAGCGTCGCACATTGCGGCCAACTCACAATGAGAAGTTGAAAAACTATACGAGCTGCGTTTACCCTTGCGGATCCACTTAATCGCTCTTATTCTATCCCTTTTCTTACTATCCTTGGCCAATATTATTGTGATCAAACTTTTTAAACGTTCCAGTATTTCATTTCTCTTTCCATATTGATTCTAAAGAAAGCAAAAACAAAGAGGAGTCTAAATTGAAATCAAAAATCAATTTCAAATGTTCAACTGCAAGGTTGAGTGCAAGTGAAAAAATTTTTTACATTCTGTAAAGATTTGTAAGGATTCATAAAACAAGAACATTGATTTCAATCGAAGAACAAGTCAAAAATTTCAAATAGAAATCGAAAATCAATTAGAATTGTTCAACGTTAAAGTTGCAAGTGAAAACTTTTTCAACCGATTCACCCTTTTGTTCAATTTGACTTTTATTTTTATTATAATTATCCTTTCATTAAACAAAAATACCAATTTTAATCGAAGCAGAAGTAGAAAATTTCAAATAGAAATCAAAAATCAATTAGAATTGTTCAACGTTAAAGTTGCAAGTGAAAACTTTTTCAACCGATGGTATCTTTTTCAACTAATTCATCCTTTAATAAAATTTTTCTTTTATTTTTATTATAACTATTATTTCAATCAACAAAAATACCAACTTCAACTGAAGAACAAGTAAAAAATTTCAAATAGAAATCAAAAATCAATTCTAAATGTTCAACAGTAAAATTGCAATGCAAGTGAAAACATTTTTAACCGATGACAACCCTTTAATTCAATTTTTCATTTATTTCTATTATATTTTTTTTTATAAAACAAAACCACCAATGAAAAAGAAGAAGTAGAAAAAGCACACGCATGCATACTACACACATACATAGAAACAAACTGTTACAAAGAGATACGAAACTAACTGTGATTCTGTTTTATCGTCAAATTTTTATCCATTCAATTTTATTTTATTTTTTGTTTTTCCAAAAACCAACGTGCAACGTCATACCGCTCGATCGTATTAGTTGCATCATAAAATTCTCAATAATAATAATAATTGCAACGTCATGTGCATAAAGAAAGAGAAAGAGAAAGATGGAATATATATCCGATCATGCTACTAGCAAGATCTTCCACGATTAGTTCTGGTTTTTGAAACGAGTATAGGATAAGAAGATAAAATAAACGAATTGAAGTTTAATCCAAATGCTGTAAATTTTTGTTGAAGAACATCGATCATGTTCTTCAACTATGATTACATTAATTACTGAACCGATATATCTCTATCATGCAAAATGCAAAAAGTCTGACCGATATTTGTTGTTTTTTAATCAATCTTTCATATAAATCACCGTTAAACTTCAAAACTATTAGTGATGATTATTAAGTAATATTATTTTTTAAACAATAATATAAAAATTCATTTATATATAATTTGAATATAATAATTTCATTTTTGTTCTTATTAAATGGTTTTATATATTTAATAACATTTAAACAAAATTTTAATTAACCTTTTGAGTACTAATTACTTTTAACTAAAATGTTTTTGTACGAACGGAATAATTTATTAATAATAAATTATATTTAAAAATTAACATTTTTGTTTCTGTGAATATTAATTTAATTAATTAATATAAACATTACACATACTCTGGTAATTTTTACCAAACACATATATACGTCCATAGCACTTTAAGGGTTGAAAATAATTATTCTCATAATATATTGTTTTCAATTTTGCAATATGAATAATTGTTACACCTGCAACTGTTCCCAAAAAATAAATAATAATTATATTCCTATGCAAATAATTAAAACGATTATTATTTTGATTTCGAGAAAGGGTTTGGTTTCATGTTCATTTTCAACCACACATATGCAAAAAAAAAAAAAAATTCAGACCATCTGAAACAAGTGGACAACACGAATGGTAATATAATCTGATGGTAAAAGTTAACTCACACTAAATAATACCATTGGACAGGTAGAAAAGCGTACTGCAGCAAGTTTCGTTCCGCTGTTGTTCCCTTGTAACCAGAATATAAGTCCCAACACAACAATAATAACGACATATATATTATATATACATGTATATCACACACAACACATACACACACACAAACACACACACAAATATATATATATATATATACATTATACTTTGTTACTCGCCCTCGCACAACGACATCCGGCGCGGTAGCCCGTGTTTCCGCTTTTCTTACACTCCCGAGAGTTTTGCCATAGTCTGCCACTGTCGACTCTCAATCGCACAAACATCTACTCTTTTTTTTATTTTTTTTTTTTTTATTTCTTTCTCTCTCTCTTTCTCTCTTTTGTATTAACAAAAAAAATTCTTTACTTTCAGATCAAATTTAAAATCTAACTAAACTATCAACATCCATTTTTTCATTCTTCGTTAATTGTTTTATTTATTTTTATTTAATTTTAATTATCAATTAGTTTGTTGTATTTTTTTATATAATTTAAAATTTAAGTATTTTTTAAAAATTATTAATTAAAATTATAATATTATATTAAATGTATCATATTAAATTTTATTTTTTTATAAAATTTTGTTTCATTTGTCAAAGATTTTATGGGATTTTTCAAATAAACTATAA